GAAATATAAAAGATATCGTTAATTTTTTACAATAATATATATCGTAATCGTATACGTAATATTATTAATTCTGTGTTCCGATATTTCAACTTCCTCATTATGTGAACGAATCTGAATTTTCTGCCATTGCGAATAAAATTAAAATTGTCAGCAAAGAACGAACAAACAATTTGTGTACAATATTAATTAGCAATAAAGTGACAGGTTAACTCAAAATCAGTTTGGTAACATCGAAAGTCGAAAAAGAACATTTATACTCATGACCTTCTCAACAGATATAAATATTTAATAATATGAAAGGCTAACTTTCTATCTTATAAAATATATATTACTTTTTATTTTGGTCCTGATATTAGTCGGTTCAAACAAATATCTATAGTTTTATTGTCAAGTATAATATTTTATATAAACCTTTTGAGAATTAAAAAAATGTTCGCACCAACAGATATGTTTTGTATGTAACGATAGTTTTATCTTACGATAGTGTTGGTCTTTATACAAATGAGACGTAATCTTGTTCAGTAATGAAGGCAGTAACAATTTCGTTTATTATCCCATTATTGCAGTTCTTTTACTCCTATATAGTTTTTTATTTCCCGCTATAATTAAAAAATAAAACATGATATCAAAAGCACATTTTATAAAATAATATACAAATTGACAGGGTATGCAATAATGTTTAATTTTTTCTATGGAAAAATCAAAAGTATTTTTTTTTTATAAAAAAGCAAGCTTCTATTTACATGTTATATAAATAAATTATAACGAGATAAAATTTTATTAAATTTTGTCGCAACTTAAAGAATATACTTAGTTTGATTAATTCTAAAAAGTTAAACCAAACATAAAGGTTTCAAACAATTTTTTATCTACACAGTTAAATATATTTTTAAATATTTACATCATTAAATTTGTGTAATAAAGTTATGATTTGATAGTAACAGTTGTAAAGTTAAAGTTTTGATTACTTTTAGCCCATTTATTTAAAATCTAACTGGAAGTTTTATATTTGACATTATATTTTCACTCATAATACAGCAGTTATTTATATTAGAAGTTTATCATTCGGATGTTCCGTGTAGCCACAGTGAAAATTACTTCATAAAGCTAACTATGTATTTTCATTAAAAACTGAGCGGTTGGACAAAAATTTATGTTAAAAAGTTAATGATATCTGCTTTAAAATTGTGTTTAAATTCCACCTGAACAAACAGTTGTGACATACAACCCTGTCAACGTATGAATGGGCTCTGGAAATAATATAGTTTAACCACAAATTTAAATAGGAACATTCTTTATAAAAAAAATAAATATATTGAATTACATTATATCTTTACAACAAAGTTCTCTTTGTCTTTACGGATTTCAAATAATGATGCTTTATTATTTCTGAAATTATGATAATTGAATAGAAGTAACTTATTTTATTTAACTGATTTGAGATTACTCGTAGTTTTGATTATAAGGATTTTCCTTATTTATATTTTACAAAACATATATTACACTATATAAATCCCCTGTAAATACTGTTGAATATAGCAATATGTAAATTAAACAGAACAGAGTGGGATTAGGATTTAAAGGACTCTTGAAAATCTCCAATTCAACTTTTTAGATATTAAAATTATGAGTTATTGAGGTAGGTTAGGCTAAGATTTTTAATTAAATTTCGAAATAAGAAGCAACATAATTAAACATTCAAATATATAACTAATTTATTATTTTATATTAAAATAATAATGTATCAACAAGAAGCAAATTTAATTGCAAAACGTTGTCAAAGACATTACACATATGAACGAATTTATTCGCAAACTCATTACACCAAGTAACAGAATAGAGTTGATGTAGTCATTGTAACATTTTGTGAAAATAAAATTATCTAAGCTCTTATTATCACATATTTAAAAAACATGTATTGTAACATTTTTAGTATAACTTTTTATAGAAGTAAAGATAAGAAAAATATTTGATAAGCTCTTTAATAATTATATTCTTTATAATCAATAGATTTTCAACAACCGTATTAGCTATGAAGAACCAATAGAAAATCGGCCGTAACTATACAAGCTTGACTGTGTTTTTTTTTTCTGATGTTCTCATTTACATAAAATATATAAGTTATCGCTTATTCATGAAATGTTTGGAAATTTGTATACATATAAGAATGTTTTTTCTTTTCCTTATTTCGATTTAAACATTGGGGTTTACAATAAAATGTTTAATTTTATTATATTATTCGAAAATAACTAATAAAAAAAGTCTGACACTAATGACAAACACGTTTAGTCTCAAATTCAGATATTAAAACCATATCTTATGATGAACTTGTTTAAAATTAAACATAAACTAACAGTCAAGTGCACTGAACTAAGACATGAACAAAATGGGCGAAGTTCATAAGTAAAGCAATATTAGTTACTTTGTGTATTGATGCTTAAAATACCGGTCAAAGTAAAGCGATGGCTTTCTTAATCTTGTGAATTTTTATAAGGCGCTTTTTTTAAAGAATAACTAAGTCCATACTAACAATTCTTTAACAATGTTCTTTATATCGACTGTGTACTAGTTCAACCTTTAAGTTTTCCATGTAAGTTTAATTAAAGGGTTATTAGTTATTGCAGTTGCAATCGATTATAATGCGTTTTCTTAGAATGTCTTCAGGCCTTGTGAGGGCTACTTGTACCTACTAGTGCTACATAGTAGGCTGTATAATCTTTGGTGACTTATGCGTAGTATTTAATAAAGTAGTTGTAGTATTTATTTGATATTAAGTAAATAATGAGATTAACATTACAGAAAAAGAACGAAGTTGTATGAGTGATGGGTTCTATATCAAATTGCGATTTGAATTTTTAAAATACGCTATCTGTGAAACCTTGAAACGGTCTTAGACTTGTTCAAATAAAAGAATACGATATTAATTATTTATATAGTAAAGAAACTTTGCAGACGGACTTCATAATATTAAATTATTGGATATAATTATTTTTTTGTTTAATTTGATTTAAAAATTATTTTGTCCTTTATAAGACTTTGAAAGGATTGTTTTTTGTTTGTTATCTAATTATCATTTTTAAATAAATTTGAAAATTTAACTGAGATTTTCTTCTTTTTGGAAATATTTTAATTTGAATCCCTGAAAATTCTCAGGGCCCCCACTGCTATAACTCACAAACAAACAACAAGATAGATTAGAAAAAATCAATATATTTTGATAGAATAGTTTTCATAGTCATTTCAATAATTTTTATATTTATATTATAGTTTTTTAATTGTCTTATCTAATTATTATTCTACGAATAATATTTTTTTAGGTTAACTCATTTTTTTTTAATTATCCTGAGAGTTAAATTTCTATTAATTTAAGGAGTGCGTTTGAAAACTTTACAAATTCTTTTTCTTTTCTATTATTCTTCTGGAGACCTGTAATACAGGTATTCCTATACCCATCACGGGCTCCAGTCTCTCACAAATGTATATTTATATAAGATGAAGATGATATGTATATAGTGATCGCAATAAAAAATATATGTTAAATAAGAATGTTAACTTTAAAAAAATAACATGTTTATAACTATGTATTAGACTTAGGTACGTACTACATTCTTTTTATTGTATTTACAATTCACTGTCAATATATTATGTATTATTGTGTAAGCTTAAATAAATAAATAAATAAAATATTAATTATTCTTTAATTGTATGGTTAAATCATGAAAGATTAATTAATTTATTTAAAACTAGACCATCTAACTATATTTACTTGATATTGAAAGTGTGTGTGCCAGATATTTGAGATCAATTGTATACGTGAATAATTTCAATACTCTTTTTGGGCAACAAACAAAGTTTTCAGTGATATATAACAAACTCACAACTTGATTACACGAGCGTGCATTCGTGCGTTCGTCAAACTACGTATCTCTGTAAAAGAGGTTATTATATGTTTTTATGTAGTATACTCTTCCTTCGAGACGCGACATGCGGACCTACATTTTATACTGTATACAAAGATACGATATATTCACAATTATTTATAATAATAAAATCAACCCTCACCTTTGATTTATTAAAGTACCCTCAAATTAATTATTTTTATAAAGATAAAAAAATCTGTAATATTGTATCGAGTCTTTCTATTTCTTGTGAACCGTCCGAACAGTCAGAGCTCTGTAAATTCGGTAGCGTGAGTAATTTTATAATCACTTTGTTAGATTCTGTGATGTTTCAATCATCATTGTGTATTAGTGTCAGTAATAAACTAATATTTTAGTCAAATTCATGACTTGATGATAAGAATTATTAAGTTATTCGTTTGTAATTAGTCGTTTTTTTAGTAATTTATTATTTCGAACTTAAAAATACAATAAGCAACATTACGAACCAGATTTATATTTAAGATACTGTTACCTCTCTTGTATCAATAAAAAGAATTATGAGAAAAGTTTATGTCAATCTGACAACTTATCCATAATGCCAGAATTTTATGTTCCCATAACTATTTTCATGTTTATAGTAATAATCTATCTCGTTAACCCCATTGTTCACGAATATGATGGAAAGTTGAAAAGTATAACGTACGATTTGAATAACAAATATACAAACATCCCAGTGAAACTTACTTACTCATCTAATAATTAGCAGCTTGGTGATTTGTGAACTCAAAATAGCTTTGTCACTTCTACATTTACGTGTTTCATATGCTTTTGTTACAGAAAATACGAATAATGATATATTTGAAGATATAAAAACTGTTCCAAAACTTATTGTTAGAACATATTCAGGAGCAGTGGCGATATTGCCGTGCAAACTAAATGTTTCTAAATTATGGAATAAGCCCGCGAAATGGCTCTATAAATATTTATTTACATTTAATCGATGATCTTTTTCAGACAAATTATAATTATAAGCCAGTTCAAGAGGATGATGGAATTATCACCGACTATAATCTTACTATTTATAATGTAAGAACAATTTACGCCGGTGATTATCGTTGTATGGCCGACGAACAACTAGGAGTAATTGTAACATTGGAAGTTATCGATGATGAACAATACAATGTAGTAAGTAATCACTATAATCATGTTTGTTTTCATGGTTTTTATTTAAGACTTAAACGTATAATATATATTTTTAAAGGTTAAACCAGCGACTTCAAAAGGTCCATACCCAATGAAACCAGTTTATTTAAACGCTTTTTTGGTAATGTTAAGTATTTGGTCCGAGTGGAGTGAGTGTAGTCAATGTGGTGCTGTCGGCAGGAGAAGGAGATATGGCATGTGTTATGTGTCCCGTATAAACGAGGTGATTTCAATTAATAAAACTTCATTATATAATAATTTATTTCAATATTTCATAGAATGATTCATATAACTATCCATAACCAAAATTTTAGACATTTTATGTCATAGTTTTTCTAATTTATTCTAATTTTGGCCAATTCCAGTATAAAACAACATTTAAATCAAACATGACTAACAGTGACGAGGAAATTTCAAAACTATTTGAAGGTACGATGGATCTTAACTATCATTACTGATGTTTCCTCTTTCATAACTGACTCGTTAATTGTAAGCCTTAAAACAAAAAAAATTGTAACATTTAAAACCGCATGCCCTTTATGTTTAATAAATTATTTGCTGATTTAATAAAAGATTATGAGCATTTAACTTGTTGTGATGACCTTGAATAATAGAAATAAAAAAATATTGCGGAACCTAAAACAATAGATAGATTGATAACTACATAATACATCTTAATGGTTTTTTAATGATCCTGATACATTTTTTGATGTATGATATTAATGTCGTTTCAGTGTATCCCGACGGTATCCCTTGTCGATCACGAATATTGGCGCCTACAATTCGAAACATGCTATCAGTACAGCAGAGACCAAACGAAATTATGCTCGGCCTGTGCAGGGTATTACATATGTTATTATCAATGACTTATACTTATTTAATAGATTTTTGTAAGTTAGCAAAAGAAGGCAAGAATGAAAGTAAAACTAAATATAATATGGGAACATATCATTTTACTACAGATTAAATTCTGGTTTGTAACATATCCATTGAACGTTTCATCTGATGTAGGCTCAACTAACTCAATACAGGTTCAATGCAAAGAAGCAATAGTGAACATTCGATCCCAGTCCGGCGAAATAATCGAATCCGTAAACAACACCGCTGGTATATATTCCCTCCTTCAGAACCCACCTTTACAACCACCATTACCAGCTAGAAGAATCATGTACGTAGAACCAGGGGAAAGAGTCATCATTATATGCTATGGGTAATTAGTTATCACCGTACCGTACCTCTAAGAAAGCTTCCTTTTTTTTCAATTAACTTTGACTCAAAAATAAAAAAAAAAAATTTCAATTAACTTTGACTCAAAAATATTTTTAAATTAAAAAAAAATTGATTATTAGTGTTGCTTTTTTGATATTGAATTTGAATTTAATAGACTACATTTTATTTGTGATAAATGCAATGTGCTACTGTTTTTCATGTAATCCATATTTTTACTTATATACACAATATTCTCATGCATAGTGTAAATATACTTTTTACAGTACAACTCTGCTTGACATCCCGTTTACGTGGCGTGTCGACACCCATGAGGTCAGTCCGAGGTATCTCTGGAGCGCGAGCGGAGACAGGATCCATCTCAACGCGAGAGATCATATCGTCATTAAACACGTATTATATAGCGACGCTCGTGTATACAGGTGATGGTAGTCTTTGTTTCTTTTTTATTAATTAATTGTCTCTTTGAAACGTTCTTAGAGGGCAGACCTAGTAGGTTTCTTTTCAAATTTGGTTAGGTAGAGAGAGGAGCTTGGACGGTGAAGGCGAGCGTTTGACTCATGTAAGATGGGGCCCTATAAACCTACACCTGGGTCGCAAGCCTCGGGCACTGTTGAAGCTCCTGTCCCTGCAACGCTATGGACCCGACACCCTCACGGTGAATCCACTGAATTGATTGATATATTTTGGATATCACACTTTAATTATACTAAAAAAATTTTTTGTTATGCAATAAATCATAAATCTTCATAATGTTTCGGTATTAATTGTATTCCAGTTGTTGGCAAGACGGTGTTCTATGTGGTGTGGTAAAACTCCGAGTTCATCGCAACACCAAGACTACCACGAGGCTGCGTCTACAAATATTTATTTTCATTTTGATACTAGCCATTGTATTAAGACTTACCTTAAGGCTTATACGCTACAGAGTACGTTATTTAGGCATTCAAGTGTAATAATATTTATTAAAATTTTAACAATGAAAACGTATACATATTTCTATATAAATATTAATTAAATTTTGGGCACATTGCAAATATGACATCGTAGATCCCTGGTCTACGTTTTGTAGCTACTTTTAGTTTGCTACGGTTTTCTGTCAATATATATGTATTTTAATAAAGGAATAAAGAAGAACATTTATTAATATAAACTCATAAAGAGCAGCGTATGTGACATTTTATATAAGAACTGAAACACAATATTAATAACTTTATCTGTCAGAGTCTGTAAAAAAAGACATTAACATTTAATTTTTTATTTGTTATATAATTAACTTTATTCTCATTGCATTCCTCTTCTACATACTAATGTATATAAATGTAAACATGTACCCATCTTTGTCATATTGGAATATATTTAACAAATTCAGAACTAATAATTACTTACATAGAAGAAGACGTTTTTCATGTCTTTAAGATACGGACAAGTTATCATAGTAATAATTTCATTGTAAGTGAAAGTGAAGGTCTGGATTGTAAACACTCTTCCTGTACAAGCCTATTCACTTTTGTCTGTGACGGTATTCAATTTGTAAATAGTAACAATCACAATTAATTGGAAGTGCTTACGAGATAGAAGATCTCCTACTTAAGAATAGAGACCTTTCTTTCTTAGGACTGATTTTAAAAAAGGAAATGAGTTGATTAAATCGTTGAATACCAATGTGTATGATATGAAATACCAAGAAACTGGCTCATTAGCATTATTGTTTAAAACTAGCCGATTGGCTTTAACTTCCACATTTGCTAAATCCCTTCAACCAGATTGGTAGATAAAATTAAAATGTCTAGAATGTTTAGACTGAATTAGTCTCATACTCATTATCAAATTTACTAAAAGTATGTAATAATTGCAGAGAATTATCTAAACCTTTAAGGCTTAGTTTTATTATAAATCAAAGAAGGTTAGTTAGAATTAAATTTCATCATAATTTCTAAAGTTCTTGGAAACAATATCTAAAAAAATACTCTCTCTCTCTCTACCACATCACATTTTTCCTTAAATCTGGTTTTTGACCTCACTGGTACTATCGAAAACAGAGAAGTAATAGTATGTGTTCTTTTTAAATCAGTAATGTATGTAACTTGGTTGACTTTGACACTTTTCTGGGCATTCTCTCATCTATCCCCGACTGTTATTATCGCTACTAGTAGACTTTGGCATCTATGTTATGTTCCTAAACCTATGCATTATATAAAATCTTATTCTAGTTATACAGAGAATTTACTTAGAAGATATAGGACTCGTGAAATTCTATTCCTAGCCTAAAAACGTATAAGACTTCTGTAACTAAATATATAAATTTTGAAAACACGATAAATTAAGATTTTATGAATTTAAGTCAAACTAAATAAAAATTAAATATTCTTATGTTCTGTATAACGTTTTATGCTTAAATAAAATTTTATTTTTAACTAATTCGACATGCAAATACAGGTAATTATACAATTTGGAATATTATATGCGACTGTAAAGTATACATAATGTCTCTGAAGTTTGTCGGATTTCCCTAATCTAAGTCTAAGCTAGTGCTCGTATAAACTTTGAAAAGAGGCATTAATTTTAGCTCACAACTGTGCCACTTTATTAAGTTTTGTTATCTCAGAAACTTACCAAAATTATTAATTTGTTTCCAGTGAATAGATTATATGAAACCTTTCTGTATTTCTTTGGCTTTTAATTTTCTATAGCATTTTAAAGAGGTACTTCAAAGATTGTTTAAAATAATAAGTAATTCTAATTAATTTAACACAAAGGAAGCTGACCTTTACTGATTGTAATGATACCAAAATATCAATAAATCTGGGTTTTGATATTAATATAGTCTAATTGTCTAAATTTCTATTTACGAAAGTTTGTATAGAACAATAGTAACCACAGAAAGGATTTAAAACCAGTTCTAATTTGAGAAAAGATAAAGCTTCAAAATTAATTCATCGACGTTTTATCAGAAATCTTTTCCACAAAAGTGATAATTTCAACACAAAGAAAAAGATAATGCACATGTTTTATATACGTAGTAGGTAGTAGTTAGATTCTTTTTTTTTTGTATTTAATTCTATCGAATATTTTTGTTTTATTTTATCTTATTTGTTTTGTTTGTTTCTTTAGCTATTTTAGTGTTATGCATTAGTTATATAAGTGTAAAATGTAAAATTGACGACACTGGTGTTCGGAAAAACTTGAATGTGTTTATGTTAACACCTTTAAATGTAAAACCATGGTACACGTACTCTATTTTGTAATTAAATAAATTAATGAAACTTTACGGTATATCACGATAAGAACAGTCGATGTTGGTTTTTTTAATAAATTATTTATTAATATTTTCTACAAAAAATCCCTTAAGAAATTCTACTACAACGGCATTTAATAAAGAAAACAGATAAAGTCTTAGTTGTAAATAAAGAATCTGTAATTTTTACCTTTTTTATATAACCTCTGTGAGTAGATAAGTCACTTCAGAATAATGCTTCACAAAATTTTGGTTTTGAACTTCTTAACTCTTTATTTCTCCCACTTTGTAATTATTATACTAATCTATGTAAATGTGTTATATGAACAAAAAATAAGAAAAATCATATTTGTATTCACAAGAAAACTTCAATTCATAATTTCTTTCTTAAATACTATGTTGAAAAGAAAGGAGGTACAGTCAAATCCAATACGGTTGGATCCAAACCTATAAATTGTACGATGAACATACTTTAATTCTCTCTTTATATATATATTTATCTCTAGTTCGAAAGCGAATCCAAATCATACCTTCATTCACAAAATCAAGTTCCTCGTCTCTTTCATTTTAACTAACAGAAAATATGTGGTTTTATTTAAAGATATTCTTTATCCTATTCAACCCGAATTTTGGTCCAGTAAATCATGATAATACGCGTTTCTTATGCACCATATAATCTCACTTTTATATAGACAGTTTCAACCCGTCTGGCCGTGATCACGGCTGCTGGAAAGAAATCGATATATCGGTATCTAGTCTAAAATAATAAAAAGACGTAATATCATCCGAAAAAAATTGTTTCATTAAAATAAGTACTTGCAAAAATAATAGAAATCATTATGCAAAAGTTTATTTTAACACAAAGGTACATCCTTCTGATATTCTTTTAAATATGTCTATAGATAGATAACGAACAATAATATAAAAAAATGAGAGTATGTATATTTGAAAGTACTAAACAAAAAATTTTACTGAAAGGAACTACAAGCGTGAAAAAAACAAACTTCTTCATCTACTCTATGTAATGATTTGATTTGACTATTGATTTTATGTTATCGAATAAAAACAATGTTTCATTTTAGTATGCAAAATCTTATTTTATAAAAGAGTCCTCACAGAAAACAATTGTTTGTTATACGAAAATAAATTATTCAAGTTGAAAATTTCAAAAGAAACAATGATTGGATTCGAATAATTATTATCAAAGCATCGTCCGAATAGTTATATAACATTGAAGCAATTGAAACTACACTACAGTTTTATTTGAATAAAAGTTAAATAAAGGAACTAATTAACGCTGTTCAAGTGATGTTGTAGAAGAATGTATTTGTTTTTATCGATGCTTGCATGTATTGAATGACTTAATTAAATGATGAAACTTAAAATGACAAAAAATGTATTTAAAAAAAGTATGTAATGTTTTTTAAGATTATTGTTACATTCATCAATACGTTTGGACTGCATCAATATTAAATCTAATAGATATAGAAGTTTTTAAGTATTATCATTCATAAAAAATTTTTGTTGACCTCCAAAATATACATTTCTAACAACTCTCACTTAGTAATGACTTAGTCGTGTAATTCGTCGTCATCTGCCTCTCAGAACCCACTGCTGAGCAAAGGACTCTTTCTCACATGGAGAAGGTTTGAGCATTAATCACCACGCTTGATTAAGACGGGTTGGTGATTTCAAACTTATAATTGTGAAATTATAAGAACAGATTTCCTCACGATGATTTCCTTCACTATGTGTCAACGCTGTCTAAATAGTCTTAGAAAGTACAGGAAAAATCACATTGGTACTTGCCAGGATAGAACCCGATCCCTCGTGCACGAGAGACGAACCCTTTTAACCACTAGGCCACTACTGACTCTTGACTGACTGACTTCATCAAATAAGTAATACAGAATAAGATAAAAGACTGATATATTTGACCTAGCATAAAAAACTGCTGTTACGATTAAAACATTCAATGATACTGCAAAAATTGTACAAAAATATAATTTTATAAACGATTACCTATACAAATTTAAATTGAAGTGGCTTTTTCAAATGAATGCAATAACTATAGGTACAAAAGTAAGGGTTGGTTTTATAAAACCACGATGAACGTACCTATAACATTTATCAAATAGCAGTTATTTAAACAAAATAATTTCAATATATTAAAATAGAGTGTCCCAAT